AGTAATATGTAGTTTTATACTTACGATTTGTAATTATTATAATATGTTTTTAAATTTTGTGATTTGTTCGATGATTGTAATATACTAATACGTAATAAGACCAGGTGTATCTAATTATATAATATGATATACTAATATGTAATATTTGTTAAGAAAATACTTTGAAAATACATCAGTTAATTATTATATTGTAATTTATGTTTTTGAATTTTGAGTATTTACAATGAAGGTAAATTTCGCAATTTGTACAGTGATTATTGTACACATAGCGAATTGTATCATGAAACTTGTACAATCTATAGTTACTTTGTACAGCAACATTGTACAATTCGCTATGCGTACAAAAATCACTGTACAAATTGCGAAATGTACAATTCCGGACATTGTATGTAACATATACACTCTTGTTGAGTCTATTTATTGGTTTAAGTGTTGAATACGAAGCTGACTTACRAATAATTGATTCATATGGTTTAATTTCGATTTTGTAATTGATTTGTTAATTTTGATTAGTATTTTTATTGTTTATGTCTCCTGCTCATGATGTGTATATGTCGTATGATAATACTTTTATTAACTATGTAGTGTAATGTGTATTACTCATGCGAGTCAAATGCCCAAAATAATACAAAATATTTTAAACAAATTTTTGTTGCCACTGACTTATGTTTATATTACCACACCTAAGTTCTAGGGGCCATTGAGTTATGATCCATGAGTAAATTTTCTTTTTAAATTGGCTATTAATTAATTTCGAATCTTAGTTGAATATCATTGACTTATCGACACATCTGATAGCCATTGGGATTTTATACTCTATAGATACATCGAGTGGAATATTTTGGTTAGATATTCGATCCATTAGGTGAGAATGTGGAACATACCTCATTGCATCAGGCTAAATTAGTTATAGCTTAAATATTATTATATAGTTTTGTGTTATTATTAACTACACAAGTATGTGTATTTTATTAGTTTGGAATATAAAACAATGAAAAACTGAGATTTAAAATAATTATAATAAATTATATTTTCATAGCAAATTATTTCATTGTTTCGAGTGACATTGAATCAATTATGTCAAATTTAAGTAAGTTAACATAATGAGTTATTCATAGATTTATAATTAATACCGTGCTTATATATGACCACGGTTATCTACTAAGGTTGGAGCACGCCACGTTATCACATGTTGAAGTGGCGTGACTAATGAACTAAAAGCGCTAGTAGTAGTCGACCCGATTTTTATATGTTAAACATACTAAAATTTATAGTTTTGTACTACTTAAACGTAAAACAATTATTTTTATTGAAAAATTRTTTGAAGTAAAGATGTTTGATATTAAATTGCTCATTGATTCAACTTGGTTAGAATTATTTAATTAATAAATAAGTCTGTAAATAAGGTTTTTATAACATAAGCTTAG